TGTAAATGTATATCTAAAGACATTTCCCGACCATGATTATACTCGGACAAGATAATGGATAGAAGCATTCAAATTATTTGTAATACATTAGAATTTCAGAACTAAATAAATGATAAATATGTTGTCGTAGTTTTTATTTAACATGACAAATGTAAAAGCGATAGAAACTTAAGAGAGAGAGAGAGAGAGAGAAAGAGAGAGAAAGAGAGAGAGAGAGAGAGATTTGTTGCATCGAATAAAAATTAATATATTATTTTTTTCCGAATATTTCAGGCAGTCAAAGTATCATTTTTTTATTAACAAATCCATTTGACAGTAAGCATAGTTTTTTTTTCCCTTCAAGTTCAAACGATTCACTCCAAGTGCACGTGCTTGTCCTGTAAATCAAAATAATTCGACACAATGGAGGTGTTTAAATCTCGCTTCACCGAACATGCCGAAGTCAAAGAGTCACTTCGTATTCCCGAGAAGTTTTAACATTTTGTTTACATCATTTTTAAAATTGATTTTCGCTTTTCTACGGAAAAAATGAATACATAATTGCAATACGTGTATATACCTGGAAGGATTAAGTTTGAAATTGAATTTAAAACATAATCCCTGCCAAATCAAAATGCGACTGTCAGCACATGTATGTATATAATGACTGTTTTAATGTTTGTATAAAGATTATTTTTTTCTGTGTTACATGTACAATACACATTGAATATTAATTAATATATACTGAAAATTCTAACTAAGAATTTGATTTCGGGAGAAAGGGTGCCGGGGGGGGGGGGGGCTGTTAAGCATACTGAATGGCAAACGTATATTTAGTTACTTGAAGGAAGGTTTTTTTCCTTTGTAATGATACACTTTATATACGTGATGTAGAACGAAAAATTCTATTGTATTAAATTTTAAACAGTTTGTCTTTTCTAAAATTCAAAATCACACAATCAATTTAATTCGCTCTACAAATATTTGATTAACTGAATATTTGTAGTACTATTCATAATTCTCAGACATATATTTAGTTCTAGCATGTTTTTGTTTATTTTTTCTTTAAAAACTTGTTAGACATATTTTTTTGTGTATTCTTGTCTTGTAAAAGACTTGGATTTTTATTCATCTAATAACGATTTTTTTGTCGTCTTTTATATTATGACGAAATGCCGCGCTTTAAGTATTTGTTTAGCGACATTGCTCTTATTTAAATTTAATATTTTAGCATCGTTCTACTTACATTTATTTTCTTAATGTATTTTCCCAGGGAAAATGGTTAAAGTAACAGCTAAGTTATAATAATAGAAATATATATATCGTTGATACTTTTTGCATTTAAATAATTATTCTTCAAACACGATATATTAGTTATTTAATTAAAAAACGTGTCAATCCTTACCATCAAAAAGATAAGTCCTTTCACTTCGGAGTTCCGAATGACAATAAAGACTGAACGATAAGTGAACGGTGAACGCAAGGTGAACGCAAACTAAACGGAACGAAGAGCGAACGGTGAACGTTTTGTGAACGGTGAACGCGAGCGCACGGTAAACGGTGAACGCAAAACTGTGAACGGAGAGCGAACGATGAACGCACGCTGAACGAACGGTGAACGCACGCTGAACGAACGGTGAACGAACGGTGAGCGAACGGAAAAATGGGAAAGTAGAACGTTTCAGGGACTGTAGCTATGAAGATTGAGACAAAGGTTTTCCCGCCTGAATGGACAACTCAGACCATACAATAAAAACTGACCAATAAAAAGGATGAATAAAGACTACACCCTTATTTATAAATAGACTCTACCATAAAACTTATGTTCTAATTCGTTTCACTCAAACGAACATAAATTATTTACAATCAAAACAAGAACACTTGTCTATATAGGAATAGAAGCGCTTGCTTGCCAATATTTATTAGACGTATACATTTCCAAAAACAAGTCTTTAATGGTACCGATTCTCTACCTTCCTTCTACAATATATCAAAAATATTATTAATCACACATAAGAGTAAAAAATGCATTTTAACACAATGCTTTTATATGTCCTCACTTTACCGATTAAAAACGAAATATATAATGCATGTATGAATATAATTATGCTTCCCTCGCCGCCCAGGAAAAACCATAGATAAAAAACAACATCGATTTATGTTGAAAAAACTATGGAAACCTGTAAGTCCGCAGCAATTGCGAGGTAAACAAAATGAATGGCGGACTCATTCTCACAAACTTACGTAAGGGCCATATATTATAATGTACAATTACATGACTAGCTTAAGTAAAACCTATGCAAAATAAATGTAAGTTAGAAATATCTGTAAATACATTTCGAATATATGTAGGTACTGTGTACCATTACACAACAATCTTACATTTATATCAAATTTTACATAAAATTATTTAAAGCGACTAAGCAAATTGTTTCCCATCTTTGACAATTAATCCGTTGTGTACAAAACTTTTAATTTTCTTGTAATGAAAACAATTGCTTACTTTATCAAACAAAAGACAAGTAAAAAAGGTTAAAGTAAGTCAGAGGGTGGGTGGGTGGGTGGGTGTGAATGTCGCAAAGCAAAGCCTTCGAATGAGTTAAAATCGTGATTAAAGTGAATACCTGTTCTTTAAGTATCGACCTTTAAATACTGACCAATAGCTACTGTCGCTTTTATTAGCACATAATAAACAAAAGCACGTGTTCCTAGTACATATGATAAATTAATTTACCTTAACCCATAGTCTTTAGGTTAAACCATTATTTAAATAGGGATGTTTATGTTTTTAAACAAAATGTTAGTTATGCGCAGCGCTATGTAAATGCATGAATGAATAAATGAATGAATGAGTGAAATTCCTAAAATAAAATAAATATAGCATTAATTAAAATAAAATAAAACTAAGTACAACTACCACACAATTTAAATTTGAAAATGTTTTAGGACTAATTATTGGGAAAAAAAATTAATAAAGGCGTAATCAATGCAGTTTTGTGGGTTGTTCGAGAGTTGGTAACGCAAAATAAGTTTAGAGTTACACTTAATTGAAAAAAATAATCTTGTTAAGTATTATCAGCCACTGGGTCTAATTCACGTTCATATCTTTTACGAACTTTTAATGTGTAACTACAATAATAATAAATGAAATGTAAATATACCAGATGAACAAAAGGTTACATGTAATTAATAGATGCAATATCATAATTCAGGTGTTAAGCAAACATTTAAACTACGATTTAGCAAAACGTAAAGAATAACGAATTTTTTTTCAACTATATAAGCATGAATTTAAAAGGTATTTAGTTAGTCAGATTCACTTGTACACCATTCGATACCAAGAACAGTAGTATGATTTTGCTATCAACAGTAGTATGATTTTGCTATCAACAGTTGTATGATTTTGCTATCAACAGTAGTATGATTTTGCTATCAACAGTTGTATGATTTTGCTATCAACAGTTGTATGATTTTGCTATCAACAGTAGTATGATTTTGCTATCAACAGTAGTATGATTTTGCTATCAACAGTTGTATGATTTTGCTATCAACAGTAGTATGATTTTGCTATCAACAGTAGTATGATTTTGCTATCAACAGTTGTATGATTTTGCTATCAACAGTTGTATGATTTTGCTATCAACAGTAGTATGATTTTGCTATCAACAGTAGTATGATTTTGCTATCAACAGTTGTATGATTTTGCTATCAACAGTAGTATGATTTTGCTATCAACAGTAGTATGATTTTGCTATCAACAGTAGTATGATTTTGCTATCAACAGTAGTATGATTTTGCTATCAACAGTTGTATGATTTTGCTATCAACAGTTGTATGATTTTGCTATCAACAGTTGTATGATTTTGCTATCAACAGTAGTATGATTTTGCTATCAACAGTAGTATGATTTTGCTATCAACAGTTGTATGATTTTGCTATCAACAGTAGTATGATTTTGCTATTTCAAACACGCCCTGAGGGTATGAGGTAGTGGGGATTGAGGGAGAAGTTCATTACTTGTCAATAATGATGTCACATCTGTTTTATGTAGGTCATAAATGAAAGTTATTTTAATAACTTTTTATGTAAACGAGTGAATCATATGGATTTCATTATGCCCCCCTTTAAAGAAGGGAGGGCATACTGCTTTGCTGCTGTCTGTCGGTCCACTTAGTTTCCGTTCATTTTCTTCACAACCATTGCACATACTGAAATGAAGTTTGGTATACAGATAGATCACATTATAATCTAGGCCAAGTTCTGTTTTGGGTAGGATCGCACCATTTTTCACAGAGTTATGCCCCTTGGACTTAGAAAAATTTCAATTATTTGCAGTTTCCATTCATTTTCTTCAAAACCATTGCACATACTGAGATGAAATTTAGAATACAGATATATCACATGAATGTCTGGGTCAAGTTCTGTTTTGGGTATGATCACACCATTTTTCACAGAGTTATGCCCCTTGGACTTAGAAAAATTTCAATTATTTGCAGTTTCTGTTCATTTTCTTCACAACCGTTGCACATACTGAGATGAAATTTAGTACACAGATTGATCAGATGAATTTCTAGGCCAAGTTCTGTTTGAGTACGATCGCACCATTTTTCACAGAGTTATGCCCCTTGGACTAAGAAACATTTCAATTCTTTGCAGTTTCTGTTCATTTTCTTCAAAACCATTGCACATACTGAGATGAAATTTAGTATACAGATTAATCAGATGAATATCTAAATCAAGTTCTGTTTTGGGTATGATCGCACCTCTTCTTACAGAGTTATGTCCCTTGGACTTAGAAAAATTTCAATTATTTGCAGTTTCCGTTCATTTTCTTCACAACTGTTGCACATACTGATATAAAATTTAGTATACAGATTTATCAGATGAATATCAAATTCTGTTCTATGTACTATCATGCCATATTTGACAGAGTTTTGCCACCTGGGCTTGGAAAAATTCCAATTTGGGGGGAGGGGGGGGGGCATAAGTGTTTTACAAACATCTCTTGTTCTATTTGTTGAATTTCTGTATGTAATCTTATTTAGTGTTTAACCCGTGGTGAGCCTCGATGCATCAGAGGTTTTCCTGATTTCTGATTGGTTAATTATATTCGGCGATCATATTACAATTTTAGCGTCCCTGATGTAAATACTTTGAAAAAGCTCTGCAGATTTTTTAATAATTATCCAGTTTATTGACTTTCCATTCTATTTTCTTGGATATCAAAACTTGGAAAATGATATCGGATACGGATTAATTCAGGAAGGTAAATGTTTTAGCATGTGATGATTGCAAATTCGACGGATAGGAGCTGAACAGTCACCATTCACAGGGGCGCCGCCATGATGATAGGCTAATCGATCTTCTTTGTTTTGTTTGTTCTTATAAAACGTCTTATAGAGGATCCATGGTTAAGAAAAACCGACCAATCCTTTGTAAATACTGATTACTTTTATCGATGTAAGAAGGAAAGGACATATTAAATTAAAAAGTTGGTTTTGAGTGGAGAAATGTCGCTGGGGTTTCAGACACGGTGTGCTGATGAGAAAAAAACGCACTAATGTTTTGGTTATAGGCCATAGTTTTGTTACACGACTGGAACAACTTTTAGGACGAAGTGATGCATTTCAGGCGGATTTCAACCTGGCTCAGTGTGAAATCCGATGCTTCGGTTTTAGTGGGGGAAGAGTGGAAAATCTACTTAAAAATCAAGACTTACAGCACTACATAACGTCTTTCAAACCAGTGGTGATCATATTACAGATAGGTGGAAATGACATTTGTAGTGTATCTGCGAGACCAGAAACTGTGGCGTGTAATATTTCTGAGCTTATGGAAACTATGGGAAAGTTTGACTGCGTACAGGTCGATGTTGTTTGCGAACTTTTCATCAGAACTCGACCAAGGAATATTTCACCACAAATGTATGAGGAAAAGCGAAATATTATAAACAACATGCTACCTGTGTTACTAGAAGGTAGACACAATAAGAAGTTCATGTTTTGGCTGCATCTTCGCTTAATGAACAGCCCTCTACACATTCTTAGTAGTGATGGTGTGCATCTATCTCCAGTGGGACAGAAAAATTTTTACAGAAGCCTCAGACTAGCTATTATGCATGCATTAGATTATGTAGTTTGAACAAAATGCATGCTCTTAGGGTTACATATTGCAGTTTATGTTGTACATATATGCCATTGCACATGCCATTTAACCAGAGAGATTGGTGAACAGCAAAGGTAATATTTATATGTTGAGTTCAGCTCAGCGATTGGTTTTAATCATTTACTTACAGAACAGTATTCAGGTATTTTACTGTTCAATATGTAATCAGTCATGTATTGGACTGATTAAGATTTACATACATTCATCTATTAGTCATGTATTTGACTGCTTTGAGATATTGATTGGAAAGTCCATAATTCAGTGCATATAATTTTATTCATTCAATTAAGGCATAAGTTCAGGCACGTATTGTTTGCTTTGAAATCTATCGGACATTTATTTGTCTGCATTGAAGATTTATCAGACATGCATTTGTCTCCATCTCAGAATTTATAATCAAATATGTATTTGTCTGTATTGATCATTCTCAGACATGTACTTTTTGTCTTCATTGGAAGAGTCAGACATGTATTTGTCTGTACATGTTAAAAAATTAGCAGACATGTATTTGTCTGTACATGTATATTGAATTTTATCAGTCATGTATTTGTCTGTTTTGATAATTCTCAAACGTGTATTTTTTTGTATTGATATTTCTCAGATATGTATTTGTCTGTTTTGATATTTCTCAGATATGTATTTGTCTGTATTAATAATTCTCAGGCATTTATTTGTCTGTATTGATAATTCTCAGACATGTATTTGTTTGTACTAAATTTTTTTAGACATGTATTTGTCTGTTTAAAATCCTCAGACATGTATTTGTCTGTATTGATAATTCTCAGACATGTATTTGTCTGTATTGATATTTCTCAGACATGTATTTGTCTGTATTGAAAATTTTCAGACATGTACTTGCCTGTATTGATAATCCTCAGCCATGTATTTGTCTGCAGAGTAAATTTATCAGACATGTATTTGTCTGTACTTTAAAAAATTTATCAAAAATTTATCTGTCTGTATTGATATTTCTCAGACATGTATTTATCTGCAGTAATACATCTGATGATCAAATGTAATTGACAAAATAAGTATTATCATTATAGATGTCCTCTAGGCAGCCGTCCAAACGGCGGAGGAAATAAGTACCCAAGGAGTCGGGAGCGATTGAACACTCAGAAAAGAATGAGACGGTGCAATCCATTACTGCAGCAGTAACTGCACAAGTTCTTGAAAATTTAAAGGCAGCGGGACTTTTTCTAAAACCACCAAATAACAATGGTGGGACAAAGGACAATGGTGGAACAAATGACAATGGTGGAACAAGTATAGACTCTGCAATAAAAAACAGCAACTGTCTCAAATGAGGGTATGCGTAAAGATAACAATTCAAACGCTATACATATTCCTGCACAGGATATTGTATCTTCTTTTGACAATAAGAACAAGTACAACTACAAACCCTTAGGGAGGCCATTGTATTCTAAGATAAACACAAAACTGCAAGAAACCAGAAGTCTCTGTCGAGACTGAAGCTCTACTGGTTTGTACTAGCAAAGGAAGAGAAAAGTACTGAAGCAGTTGGAAATTGAAACTTTTCAACAGCAATAAATATAATAATGATCCTTGATTAAGTCTCTTTATGTTCTTAGTGTAGTCTACTTGCATGCCACATTATGTTATAATCAGACTAAAACTGTATTTGGAGTAGCATTTTGAGAGTATTTAACAGAAATTTCTATTTTTAGTAACCATGGTAACACCGTTCATCGAAACCAAGTACTGATAGACAGAATTATGTATCTTAGTGTAGTCTACTTGTGTGCCAATTTATATTGAAATAAGACCAAAACTGTGGGAGGAGTAGCATTTTGAAAGAATTTCACAGAAATTTCTATTTTTAGTAACCAAGGCAACACTGTTCATCGAAATCAAAAACCGATACACAGAATTATGTATCTTGGTGTAGCCTACTTGTGTGCCAATTTATATTGAAATCAGACCAAAACTGTAGGAGGATTAGCATTTTGAAAGAATTTCACAGAAATTTCTATTTTTAGTAACCAAGGCAACACTGTTCATCGAAATCAAAAACCGATACACAGAATTATGTATCTTAGTGTAGACTACTTGTTTTCATAGTTATATTGAAATGAGACCAAAACTGTAGGAGGAGTAGCATTTTGAAAGAATTTCATAGAAATTTCTATTTTTAGTAACCACGGCAACACCGTTCATCGAAATCAAAAACTCATACACAGAATTATGTATCTTAGTGTAGACTACTTGTTTGCCAAGTTATACTGAAATCAGACCAAAACTGTAGGAGGAGTAGCATTTTAAAAGAATTTCATAAACATTTCTATTATTAGTAACCATGGCAACACCGTTCATCGAAATCAAAAAGCGATACACAGAATTATGTATCTTAGTGGAGTCTACTTGTTTGCCAAGTTATATTGAAATCAGGCCAAAACTGTAGGAGGAGTAGCATTTTGAAAAATTGTTTACAGACAGACAGACGGACGGACGACGGACGGACGACGGACGCATTACTATCGCATAAGCTCTTCTGGTCTCTGACCACTAGAGCTAAAAATCAGAAGTAGGGAATTTATAGACATGTCTGATGATTTGGTTGATCATCAGCCAGCAGATCTTGATTTGCATTTGGCCGTCAAAAACCACAAAATTGGTCTTACATCTGGGAAAAAACGCAAATATCTTACCATTGCAACTTGGACGGATGCATTTTTGATTTTTTCATCCGTTATTGGAAAAGCCAATCCCACCAATCCTACCATCTCTGAAGATTTATTGTTGGCCTGAACACCAACATGTAAACCCTGTTTTGCGATGATGTTCGAACAAATTTCACTTATTTTTGGGTTGTTTTTGAAGTTGGAAAGTTTTTATTACCACTTCAAAGAAAAATGAAACTTGACATAATTAACATGAACACATAAATTGTTTTAGCATGTGTGTTGTGTGCTGGTACCAAATCCTCAGAACTTTAATCTCTTAAGTGCTTCTTGTTAATCCCACCACTGGCCATCATGCACAGAAAAGATTTTGATGTGGAGGACATAGGTGCTTAGTTATCAGCTGTAAGTCAATTTCATTGCAGTCAAAATTCCTTATTGCCACTGGAAGTCAACACTTCTAGGTACATGAGTCACTAGACTAGTTCAGTGGTTCTATAGTCATGAAGTAAGGAGTTAATCCTTGCATCGCAGGTTCGAATCTTACTATGAGACATGGAGACCTGTTCCTCTGATAAGACACTATAAACATATGTTATCTAACATTATACTTATAAAAACCAATTAGGGTGCCTCGTTACGGTAGGTGCTGGCATGAAAAAAGATCCCTCACACCTCAATAGTCTTAAGTGTCGAGTATAGAATAGTCCACCTACAAGTGCCGACAACTCCATGTGAGAGAGAAATTCTTGAGCATATTCTGAAAAATCGATGAGCAGATAGATCTAGAATGGAAAAATTTAGGGAATGAATTAGTAATCTGAAGAATTGGATTGCAATTTTGAGATCTCGAATTATAAACCAAAGGAATGAATTGATAATTCTTGGAAACGGATTGTATAATTCGTGATCTCAAATTAAATTTTACTTATTTTGAGAATATTTTGAAGTGTTCCATCATTATTTTCATAGCATCTAATGAACATTAGATCTATCTGCTTCACAATTTTTCTTTATATAATACAGGTCTGCCTTTAGTTAGATTACCAAATATGCTATTTGTTTTGGTTCAGTAATGCAACATTCAGTGTTTACTACAAGGTTGTTGAATTTTCAGTCCTGAGTGATACATTGACTTGATAATATCATTTAACTACTTGAATCGTATTAATAAATTTTCATTTCAAATGGAAAATAATATCAATGCATTAATTGTATCATTCTTAATTTTATTTATGAATGTAAATTCACATATATATCTGTTTCAAAATATTTAAATCTTTTACAGTATAGAAGCTGATCTCTTGTAAAGACAAATCAAAGAAGAATTTCCTCCAGTCTCTCAAAGAAGTGGCAGTTGATGAAAGAATGGAGCTCTGGTCTTCAACATTTTGTGGAAGACTTAATCAGTCTGATCTGGAATTTATTTTGCAATATATCCTTATCCTGATTTGTAAATGGACATAAACGTCACATTTTTCAATCTATTGACAAAACAGTTTTGCATTAATTGCCACTGCCATGTATTATTATTTCCTTTAAGATGGCATGTCAATTCCTTATTGTACACCTTAAGCTTGCCAGTAAAATCCAAAAAACTTCAAGTTTATTTTACTTCTTAGATTAAATTATTGCTTGCAAATTTTGTCTTGCCTTTTTTTAAGTCAACCATTAGATGAATTTTCCATGACTGTAACATTTCAAAGCTGATATAAACTTACAATTTTAAGTAGAATTCTGTACTAATTTTACCTTGACCCCCTAACAACAAGAGTGTCAAGGTCAATTTAAAACAAAAATGTTCTTTTATTTTTTTGGCCCATATCTTACAAACAGCATACAAATTCAAAAAAGTGTCTAGAAAGGGCCCGAATGAGAAATCACAAATATGTACATGTATATAGTTTAAAAATTGAAAAAAACTGTTGCTAAGCAACCATTTTAAGGTCATTCAGCAAAAATTTGAACTAAAATGATGTATGGAGATTGCAGTTTTGATCCCTTCTTGAGAGTATTTTCAGAATTTTTCATTTCAGCATCTACTGTGTAAAATATTAGCAAAAATATTGAGAAGTCTTGAAAAAAAATGATGAAATTTTTGCACTTATTTACCTTTTAAACCCCCTAAAAATAGTTCTAATGAGGTAAACTTTTGAAAAATTTATCTGCTATTATGTCCCTTGTAATTTTATGACATTAAATCTTACTTTAATATGTGCTGGGATGCGTAAATGTGTCTACGATGTCTGAAAAAAAAAAAATTTTTCCTGAAAATTGAAAAATTTTCGTTGCTAAGCAACCGCTTTTAAGGAAATGTATGCAGAATTAAACAAGAGGCCCACGGGCCTTATAGGTCACCTGAGTATTGTGTAACAACTTTCAAACAATAACATTTGGTTTGTGTTTTAAACCCGAGGCCATGGAATTAAATTTACAATCTACAATTTTGAAAAAGGACCCTTGCATATATAATTATTAACTTAGCTTACTTTATTTACTTAATACCCAGAGGTAGATCAGAGTAACAAAAAGAAAATGCACTTCCATTTTATACCCAGTTGTGTACCTCACCCTAAAAGGGAAACCCCTGATCCATTGGCAACATACCCGGGATTTCAAAATTTTAAAATGTTGTCATAAAATGGTTGATTAATACTAAAGAGCAGACTTCCGCATTAATTTATTTTCAGACCATGTACCCCCCCCCCCCCCTGACTCTGGGGGCATAAAAAAACCACTTTGCTAGATGCACCATTCTTCATCATAAATGTATGTATACTTGGATCATTGGCACAAAACCCAGAAGCAAAAGGGAAAAAATTTTCAAAGAATTAATGTATTTTTACTATATAATCAATAGAGCCCCATCCTAAAACCAAACATAACCCTGGGGCAATAAAATTTACAATTTTGGAAGAGGCACTCTTCTCATCATAACTATGTGCTTAATTAGTTTATTTAATATCCAGGAGCAGAGAAAAAGATTTTCAAAGAATAAATGCATTTTCACTATATAATCAATAGAGGACTCTTTCTCAACATAACTTTTTGCTAAGTTGGTTTATTTAATACCTTGGAGCAGAGAAGAAGATTTTCAAAGAAATATTGCATTTTTACTTTTAATCTATAGAGCCCCGCCCTAATATCAGAACCCGTGACCCTGGGGCCATAAAATTCACAAATCTGGAAAAGGGACTTTTGCTCATCATAACTATTTGCTTAGTTAGTCTTTTAATACCCAGAAGCAGAGAAGATTTTCAGAGAAATAATGCATTTTCACTATATAATCTATAGAGCCCCATCCTATCACCAGAACCCCTGACCCTGGGGCCATAAAATTCACAAATCTGGAAGAGGCACTCTTGCTCAACATAACTATGTGCTAAGTTAGTTTATTTAATATCCAGGAGCAGAGAAGAAGATTTTCAAAGAAATAATGCATTTTCACTATATAATCTATTGAGCCCCGCCCTAGCACTAGAACCCCTGACCCTGGGGCCATGAATTTCACAGTTTTAGTAAGGACTCAATGCTCATTACATTCATGCCAACAGTTTGCCTGCTTGTTGTCCAGGAGTAAAGAAGAAGATTTCTAAAGATTGCAATAATTTAAGTGGTTTTGGCCCCACCCTCAGGCCCCAGGGGGGCGGGGACCAAGTAATTCACAATTTTTGTTCCCCTCCATTCATATGCTGTATACCAAATTTGGTTGAAATTGGTTCAGTGGTTTCAGAGAAGAAGCTGAAAATGTTCAAATGTTGACACACGACGCACGACGACGGACGAAAACGAATAGCA